AGAAATTTGAAAAGCCAGAGAAAGAAATTGAAGCATAGTTGATATATGAATTCTCAATGTATCCTCAACTCCCAGTCCGAAGACAGCATCTTCTGCCACGGCTGGAGTTGCTGAAAACAGTCAGGATCATTGGAAGCAGTTGTCCACATGCACCACTGACATCTGCTCAAATCCATTTCATTCAGAAAGTGTCACAGGAGACATTGGATGACTTCAGAGGAGAATGCTAGTGTAAATTTGCAGGTGGAGATAATTAAACAATTTCATATGTAACTAAATGAAATGCACTCCTTCCTGGAAAGATACTCAGTGAATGAAGGTTCATTAGATCAAACAGGAAAACTATGAGAACTGTAAGAAGAAAACAGAAGACTAGGGGCCACTTTTGAAATTGCAGTGAATGTCTTTTTTTTTGGTACCGGGGATTGGGGTCCTTGCACTTGTGCAGCAGGGGCCGAAACCACCAAGCTAAATCCCCAGCCCTGCAGTGAAAGTCTTAATGTTCTGAAACTGGGAAGTTTGGGGCAACACAAAACTACCTAGAATTGGAATTGTAGGGGCTTTTGGGTTTTGGTTTTGGTTTTTGAGACAGGGTCTCGCTATGTAGTTCAGGTTGGGCTTGAGCTCACTGTGTAGCCCAAGATGGCCTTGAAGTTGCAGCTGTCCCCCTGCCTCAGCCTCCTGGAATTGTGTTCTTGGCCTCTGGGGAAGCAGGGTTTAAGTTACAGAGCAATGACATTTTGTATCGAGTATTTTCTCTTTTTTTCTTGATAACAGGGATTGAACTCAGTACTTTGCATAGCACCGCTGAGCTACATCCCTGGCCCCTGTATCAAGCATTTTGTCAAAATATTTATATTAAAAACTGCATAACACATCATATGTCTAATAGGAAAGTCAACAGGATCTTTATTTTCTAAAAGCTTTAGCTGTACGTTACCCTTTTTCTTGGGAGAAGAAAATTATACATAAAAATTGGTCATGTGCTAGGGATGGTGGCACAGGCCTGTAACCCCAGCGCTTGGGAGGCTAGGAGGGAATGCCGCAAGTCTGAGCCCAGCCTGGGGTACACAGTGAGTTCAAAGTTGGCCTGAACTGGTCCTGCTCCATTGATCAGGCAGCCTTGTACTCATTACAGTCCTCCTGCCTCAGCCTCCGAAGTGCTGGGGTTACAGGCCTGTGCCACCATGCCCAGCATAAGGGTTTGTATTTCTCTGTAAGGGCTATATATCTTCCAATTGTCTCATGAGTTAACAATGTGAAATTATACTATAAAGTTTTAATCACCAAGCCTCAGGTTATAATCAGTGAAAATTTTGTATTAGATACTAAATTTTACAGCATTATTTCCATTGTTTTCTCCCAAGTGAAAAGTGTGGATTATTTTGTTCTGTGTTTTCTTTGTTTTGGGGGGCTTTTTTTGGTACCGGGGATCAAACTCGGGACTTTGTGTTCTATGGTTTTTAACATAAGTTTTCTCTAATTCTGTGTGCTATGAATAATATTTTTATATTACTGGCCTTACCACAAATCATCTATGAAGGTTCACTGTGAGAGTTCATACCTCACTGGCAGTGCTTGGACATGGACATCTAAATGCTGAGATCTACACTTCTGGTGTGGAAGACTAGGAGGCTCAGTTGCTTATGTCCTGGTGTCTGTTGCCCAAAGGTTTAAACTGTATCTTGTGTGAGGCCTGCTGCCCAATCCTGGCTTCTGGGATGAAAATATTTACAAGAATTGAAGAACAAAAACAAAAAGAAACCTAATTTAGCCAAGTGTGATGACATTCCTGTAATCCCAGCACTCTGGAGGCTGAAGCAGGAGAATCCTAAATTCCAGCCCAACCTGGGCAGCTCAGTGAGACCCTATCTCAAAATAAAAAATAAAAAAAGAGCTGGGGATATAGCTCAATGTAAAAGCCCTGGGTTCAATCACCAGTACCACAAAAAGAAAAAAAAATCTATTTTAGCACACTAACTTTAGCATACTAACTTTATAGAGTGGTATATATATTTAATAAGCTTGAACATATTAATAATCACTTCCAAAATAAAAAAGGATATTACTAGAAGCTGGGCATGGTGGTGCAAGCCTATAATTCTAGCACTAAAGAGGCTGAAGAAGGAGGATTGCCGTGAATTCAAGGCCAGCCTGGGCTATGTAGTGAGTTCAAGACCAGCCCGGATTACACAGTGAGGCCCTGTCTCAAAAAAAAAAAAAAAAAAGAAAGAAAGAAAGAAAAAAAGGGCCTGGGATTTAGCTCAGTGGTTCTGCCGCCTGCCTTTCAAGCATAAGGACCCGAGTTCGATCCCCAGTACCAAAAAAACCCCACAAAAAATGCTTAAAGAGAGTATTTGTACTGAAGCATATAGAGGTATTAAATTTGAATTTTTTTTTTTGGTACTGGGGATCAAACTCAGGACCTTGCATTTGCAAGGCAGGTGGCGGCACCACTAGCTAAATCTCCAGCCCTGGAACAAGTTTCTTTAAGTCACTATCAAACAGGTTTGAGGACATAATGTGATTTACCTACCTGCTGTATTTGACTCTATTAATCTTTTCCTACTCCACATAATGTATATTAAGATAGGTGAGATAAAATAAAACAATTTCAATAACTGTGTGTGTATAAATGAAACACTTTTGTCATGGATATAAAAGCTAAGTAAAAAAAATAAATTTTTATATTAAAAAATGAAAATAGTCTCCGATACAGAGGTATGAGGATCAAACACCATACCTGGCTCACATTCAGCAGTCTGGGCTCTCAGCTGGAGGGATACGCACACCAGCTTTTTTCTTAGAGGAGCCACGATTTTTAAAAATTAAAAATGTGTCAACAGAGCTGGGTACGGTGGTACACGTCTCTAACCCCAACTGCTCTGGAGGCTGAAGCAGGAGGATGGAAAGTTTACGCCCAACCTATGGCAATTCAGCGAGACCATTCCTCCTAATGAAGGGCTGGGAATGCAGCTCAGGGTGGAGCACTGGCTGAGCATGAGTGAGGCCTCCCGCGACAACGGGATTTAAATATTTGTCTTTTTAAATTGTTCACCTGAGAAAATAGAATACAAGGGCCGGGGATTTAGCTCAGTGGTTTCGCTGCCTGCTGCGCAAGCGTGAGGACCCGAGTTCGATCCCTGGTACCAAAAAAAAAGAAAGAAAATAGAGTACAATATGCATTCCGTAATCCAATCAATAAACTAACCACAGGGTATACTTTTTTTTTTGGTACCAGGGATCGAACTCGGGCCCTTGCGCTTTCGAGGCAGGCGGCAGAACCACTGAGCTAAATCCCCAGCCCCTAAAATATACTTTTTAACGGGATTCTTAGTGGACCAGAAGTTTAAGATGACATAAATTTTCAGTCTGGGGAGGGGATCTGTCCCTGCGCATGAGATCAGCACCAGCGCGGACGAGACACTGACTCAAACCTCCCACCCCCAGCTGGACCCTCGGGAAATGCTGACACCATGCGCTCATGTTGGCCCCTCCCTTTGGCTTCCGTCTATTTTCAGAGTTCACAGGTGCAATTTACTACAAAAGCCTGGACTGTGCTCCTTGGTTGCTGTTAATAGTGGCTTTGCTACTCTGAAAAGTACAAACACTTGACCATCTCCATGAAATCAGGGCGTGTGTAATCTCAAGACACGGAGCCTAGTTCTGGCACACCACAAGACAGGACGGCCGGGCCCCGCCCTGGCTTCCTCGAGCCTGCTTCGGGAAAGCACACTTCGGAGCTGAGGGCCCCTTTCACAGGCCTTGGGCTCCGTCTCAGCGCTGGGTATGGGGCAGGGCAGTTTGCAGAGAAACTTCACCTGCGGGCACCAGTTTCCTCTGCCCCAAAGCAGTTTGAAACCTTAATATGTCCGTATAATTATCTTGATATTGTAACTGATCTTAGGCTAATTAATATAGCAATATAATTAATCTTGATATTATAATTGATCTTAGGCTAATTTAGAAATTTTTTTTATTTTGGTAGTGCTGGTGTTGAATCTGGGGCATTTGCACTGATCTACATACATCCCCAGCTTTTTAAAAAAATTTTATTTTGAAAAAAAAGAAAAAATATTTTTATTTTGAGACAGGGTCTAAGTCGCTAAATTAGGTGTCCACAGAGTGCTGGGATTACAGGTGTGTGCCACCACACCCACCTTAGCAAATCATTTATAAACACTAAGAATTTTTAATTGGGAGAGAGAAATCTACCAAAATGTAAACACTTAGAAATATTACTAAAATTTAGACAAGACATGCTTTTAACCAAGTTAAAGTTCTCAAATGCATTGACATGATGAGACATTAGTCACTGGCTACAAACTATATTTGAAGAAATCCCCCGTATTTTTGTTTGCTGTACTGAGGATCGAACCTGAGCTACCCCAGCCCCGAGGCTTCTCTTTCAGAGATGTTCTTATGGCCACAAAATTATGCTCTGAACAGAGGCCGAGTGATGCACGGTGCTGAGAGTTGTCCAAAGGACAGGACTCACTTAAATAGAAGGACATCAAGACATTTGTGGAAAACATTTAATAATCCACTCAAGCAGCACAGGAAATACAGGACCAGGTGCTAAGGGTGATGTTGACTGATTAAAGTTACAGACACAAAAGTTAGGGTAAGTTAAGATTTCAGGCCACAGAAAGGGTGGGTCTCAAGTGATCTGAAAGAGAAAGGCATTAGTTTGGTCCCAAACTCAGAAATCACTGAGGCAGAGGCACACGCCATACACAGGGAACCTCCAGATCCACGTGGCGGTCCTTCGGGTTACAGATGACACCAGCTATCTGGAAGTTTTGGCGATCTGACAGCAACTAGAGGCCACTACAGACTCTAAAGAGTAACTGTTAAAGTGATAGCTCAAGGCAAAGGGGTCTTCAAACAATCTGGAATCAGTCATTCATGACTGAGTCTAAAGATGGTAGCTAAATGCAATCAATGTAGAGACTGGGCAGATGCTGGTCCAAGGTCACAGAACTTCAGTTAGGAGAATCTGTTTGAGAGATTTATTGTGCATCAAGACTGCAGTTAATATATTACATACTTGAAAGGGGCTAAGACAGTAGACTTTAGGTTCTCATCACAAAAATAAGTATGTGCAGCAATGCATGTTAAGTGGCTCAATTAGCCATTTCACAATGTACACAGACATCAACACATCACGTATGCCATAAATATATACGGATTTTTACTTGTCGATTAAAAAATAAAGAACTCACTTTGAAGGAAGAAGAGATGGAGGGAGGGAGGCGGGGAGGAGACGGGGCAGTGAAGGAACTAGGGTGGGTCGTGCACACGCGCCAACTCCCGAGATGAGCACAAGCATCATGTACTGCAAACACGCCCTAACAAATTCAAATAAAAAAGAAAGAAATCTCCATGACAGCTAAGGGCAGAGGACATGGGATAGAGTGAGCTTAAGGTTATAAGCCTTGGCGAGACTATGGGAAGACAGCAGCTGTCAGGCACAAAGAGAACCTGAGTTGAGCCAAAGGGTTCTTGCGAAGAGCGTGAGTCTGAACAACCAATCCAAAAAACAGCACAGGTCTAGCGTGTGGCCATAGGGACACAGAGCTGGAGACAGACAGGTACAGAGGAACACCAGAGCCCTTGGGTGGCTGGGATGGGTACACAGAGACCTATGGGGAGTCACTGGCATAAGAGGAAGCTTGGACAGTGAGAAACGCTGTCCACCAGTCAGGGTCAGCAAGGACCTGTCCTGACAGGAAAGCCAGGTGGGGCAGTGCCCTAGCGTCTCCCGGGTTCTGACCCCTCCGCTGAGCTTATCCTGAATGCTCTCAGATTCTCAAAAGCTACCAAAGGCGGAAAAGATATGCTCCTCCCACGAGTCCAGCTTTGAACCAACTTCTTCACAGAGAGTGGAATAGGTTTCGAAATTCTGGGCTTGGGAGCTACAGTCAGAACCGCCCCCTCCAGCCCAGCTGGGATCCTGCAGGCAGTTCACATCCACCTCAAGAGAGGGCTGCGGCTTCAAACACTTTGCCTCAGCCTCAGGAGCTGAGTGGTGGAGGAAGAGCTCCCGCCTGTCTGTGGACTGAAAGGATTTCCCGCTCTGTCTCCGGGACTTGGCACGCCTGTTCTGGAACCACACCTGGAAGAGGAGAGAAAGACACTGGTTTGGGTCGGTGTTTTTATGCATAATTCAATTCTTCTTTTTTTTGGTACCGGGGGACCCTTGCGCTTTCGAGGCAGGCGGCGGAACCACTGAGCTAAATCCCCGGCCTGTGAATGGGTTTTGAAAGGGTCAATGCTCCCTGGCACATTCACCAGGCAGGCAGGTATCTCCTGGGGAACTGCGCTTCCGTGCATACCTTTCCCGGCGCGGCCCGCTCAGCGAGCCTCCCTGGCCACTGCTGGAAGTGACAGCTGTGTGACCACCAGGGGTGCGGAAATCAAGCGTGTCCACACCCTCCGAGGGTTAGAACTGCGCTCGGACCCAGACCAACGCACCGCACGCCAGCAGGCAGAAAGGGAGGCTCCTCAACACCAACATCGGGATTCTGAGCTACATGACTTCAGACGATCAAGCACTGCATTCGATCTTTCAAACTATGACAAAAGTCCCAGATGCTTCAGGCTCCGCCCCAAGTTGCCGTACCCTTTAGAATCCCAAGCCCAGACCAAAACCTGCAACGGGAGTGGCCTAGGGGTAACTACTGCTGCGCCTTCTCTCTTGGCCCTTCCCAAACCCGGAGCCGGCGGCGGAGGCTCCACGGCACTTCCCTCCACTGTGTCTTCCTTTCCCGGTACCGTAACTGAACGCAGGACCTTTGCACTGAGCTACACCCTCGGCCCTTTTTAAATCTTCAGACAGGATCTCGCTAAGTCACTACATTGACGAAGCTGGGCTCAAACTTGTGAGCCTCCTGCCTCAGGCTCCCAGAGCGCTGGGCTAACAGGAGACCGCCACCGCGCCGGCCCGGCTGTCTTCCTCCTAGACAGGAAGAGTGTAGACACTGCCGTCATCACCTTCCTGCGAGCATTAACTGACTATCTCAGGCCGGGCCCAGGCCCTCGGCCCCCAGCAGCAGGAGCCTCGCGCCGGGCAGCGGGCAGGACGCGGCGGGCGCGCTCACCTGGATCCGCGACTCGGGCAGGCGGGTGCGCGCGGCTAGGCGCTCGCGCAGGTGGATGTCGGGGTACGCGGTCTGGCGGAAGACGAGCTCCAGCAGCCGCAGCTGCTCGGTGCTGAACGACGTGCGCTTTCGGCGCTGCGACGCCGGCGGGGCCGCGCCCGTGAGGGGCGCCAAGGGCGCGGGCGGCGGCGGCGCGCGGGGCCCGAGCGCAGGCAGCGTGGCGCCGTCCGCTGGGCGCAGCTGTTGGGACCCCCGTGCGGCCATGGCTCGGACCCCGCGCCCGGCCGCGCCCACTTATAGGCCCGGGCGGCGGCGCCTCAAAGGGGCGGCCAAGCCCGCGCGCCCCGGGGGCCGCCACCGCCAGACGCCCGGCCCGAGCGCTTCCGCGGGGGCGGGGAGGCGAGAACGCCGGCGCGGCCCAATCCACATCCCGGCGGTCGGGACCGCCCCGCCGCGCGCCCACCCTCGCTCTCTGGGTGGGTCCGCCCGGCCCGCGCTCCGGGAGGCTCGCTGCGCCCCTCCCCGCCCCTCACTCGCGCCCCGCCGTGTGGCGGCGCCCGCTTCGTCCCGGCGGCCCGGACCCGGACTCGCTTCCCGGCGGGTCCGCAGCGTCCCGTGGGCGGGCGGCGCCGACAGCCGCACTCCGAAGAGCCGTGGGCCCGCGCGAGGCTCCCGGTGGGTGCGGCCGTCGCGCGCCTCCCGAGACGCCTGCGCCCGGCTCTGCCCTCGGCCCTGTGGCGCTTCTGCCTCCTCCCAGCCCCTCGTGCCTGCAGAGGCCCCGGGGCTCTCGGCCCTGGACGGTACGCCCTAGAGCTCACGCTTTTCTCCCTGATTGTTTGCCCCCCCCCCCCCCGTGGTGTCCTGGGGATTGAACCTCATGAAGTCTAGCAAGCACTGCCCCCGAGCTACAACCCCGCTGTCACTGTTTTATTGAAACAAGGCCTCCCTAAGTCGCTAAATTGCCCAGGCTGCGTTTGAACTTGTGATCCTCCTGGCTCAGGAAATCACAGAGGTGTGCCACCCCGGCTGGCTCGCTCGCTCTTTAGTTGGTTATCTCAAAATTTAGGCCGGGTGTCTGTGCTAGAAAGTGTTTTATAGTCGTTCTTAGGAAGTAGGTATTCCTGGCCAAATTTTACAGACCCAGAAATATGCCAGAATCCAGACAAAGGCCCAAAGAACGAAAGCCGTAGCCAGGCTAACCTCCAGATGTGACTTCCGGGGTCCCACTGAGCGCCCCCCCCCAGGGTGAAGCCAGGCCAGGCCCCCGTGAGGGGCGCCTCCTGCTTCCTGCGGTAAGGGAGGAGTTACTGTAGCTGGGGATTCAAACACGCGAGGAGCGGAAGTCTTTCCTCTGCAGTGCCAGGCTTCCATGTGCAGTTTGGTGACCACTCTGACTACATGGGCATTATTTACTTGTGATTGTTTTCCTGAGTGTTTGTGTTGTCTTACAATCTATACCAAATGAGATTTCGCCCGGCCATTCTCTCCTTTTTGTTCTTTGTTTTTGTTCTTGTCAGTGTTGGAGGTCAAACTTGGGGCTTCAGTTCTTCCCTTTGCTGTAAATTAATTTCTTAGGGGCTGTGTCTGCAGATGCCTAAAGTCATCTTGGTGAGGATATACTGTAGTGGAAATCAGGCTTGGAACTGGGAGTGAAATGTTGGAGAGAAAGATTTCAGTGCTGCTTTATTGTTATTTTTTAATCATATGCACGTGTAATTGTTGAGTACATTTTTAGTACTCATTTTAATACTAGTGCTGAATTCAGGGCCTTTGCATGACGCTACATCCCCAGCCTTTTTTATTGTTTTATTTTGAGACAGTCTAAGTCACTAAGTTGTCCAGATTTGGCTCGAACTTGTGACTCCCCCTGCCTCAGCCTCCTGGAGTGCTGAGGTTACAGGCATGTGCCACCACACCTGTTTTAAACCCTAAAGTTTTTAAGACAAAATGCAACAGGACATTCTGGATTGGATCCTGTCCCAGCTCCACGTGGGACTGGATTTCCCAGTCTACTCAGGGACTTTCATTGCCCAAGGCTGGGGAGATGAAACCCAGGGCAGGGTCCCCGTATCCGTGTGGCTCACATTGACTTGAATTAAAAGAATATTCTACTCTTTGTTTTGATAAGCACTTGTATAATCATAAGTAGTTTTCATTGAATCCAAGTTCTCGATTCCTTAATTGCCTGGGTACAAATATAAATGAGAATTTGGTGATTTTTTTTTTTTAACAGGGTCTTGCTGTGTAGTCCAGGCTGCCTGAGTTTCCTGAGTGCTGGGATCACAGGACTGTTCCACCATGCCCAGACCCTTTGGTGACTCTTCTATACCCACTTCCCCGTCTGGAAAATGGAAAGAGCCTGCTTCTCAGTGATATCCTTGGAAAATTGTTACTGCAAGTTATTTTCCCTAAATAGATTGTAAAAGGAAAGGGTCCAGAGGGGTTTTGTTCTACAAAAGTAGGTGGGTTTACTAATTCAGAGTATCGAGCTGAAGTTCAAAGTCCTTTGAAGACAGCAATGGCTGAGACCAGGATCTGGATTCTCCTCCCACACCCCGGGCCAGCTCAGTGCTGCATTTGCTGAGTGCTTTTGGCCTTTATTCCTGTTTGGTCCACCAGCAACAGACACCGGCCAGGCAAGGTGGACCGAAGGGCGCTGAGATGTTGCTGTGTCCAGGGAGGCCAGGATGTGCGGGAGAGGAAGGCGCCCTGTCCAGATGGGGGTTGTCAGTCCTGCACCAGCCCAGGCTGGAAACCCGGACCATTTGATGTCACTATCCTCTTCTGCACCCCAACATTTGCAACTCCAGTTCCTGCAGCCCACACCTAAACATCACAGAAGCTGCCGTCCTCCCCAGTGCTAAGTGCTTTCTTCCCTGCTCTTTGTTTTTCGAACCCAGCCTTCTGGCTACCACTGACCTGTGGAGGAGCCCAGTGTTTATTAAAGGGGCAGCCAGGAAAGGGCAGCCTAGGGAGCTCTGCTTCCACCTGGGCCTCTGCGGGGCTGTTTCCCCTTTGATCCTGGCTCCTTTGATTTTCTCTCCTTTAGATCCCCAGGCCTCTTCACTTTCTGAAGTTTATTTCAGAGCCAGTAGTTAAAGGAGGCAGGAAGACAACACCTCTGCAGAAGGTACCAGTGCACTGGGAGGACAGCGCACGTGGTACGAGCCCCTCGGTGTGGTATATAGGCTGTGCCATGGCGATCCAAATAGCAAACGCGAAACAAATGCTGATTCCAGTGTAGTGAGTTTTTAAGAGAATGATTCTTTTCCTTCTGGTTATTTGTACCCCATAACTGAGCAAGGGAGACCTGTGAGTCTTTCACAGCCTGATTCACAGCAGAGCTACCCAGGGCTGAGAGGACGCTTCCTCCTGGGAGCAGGAAGCCAGACCTTCTCCAGCTCCTGGGAGCTGCAGATCTGAGACAGCTGGAATGGTGTCCTGCTCAGCTCCAGATTTGACAGTTCTCGCTGCACCAGAGTGCTTGAAATGGAGCCACGGTAACTCTGAATTTTTCTCTTTTTTGAGATGTTGGGGATCAAACTCAAGGCCTCACACATGCAACTCTACCACTGAGCTACAAGCCCCATTATCTGGATTCATTTCATTTCAATTCAATTGATTGAAATTTAAATCATAACATGTGGCTGGTGGCTCCCATATTTACCAATATAGCTGTACACCATCATCTTGCAATCACTGTTCTTTGAAAATTTTTTGTGTATAAATGCAGAAACATCTAGTTGGTGCAAAACTATATACCAGTTTGATTTTTTTCTTTTTGAGACAGTGTTTTGCTGTGCAATTTAATCTAACCTTGAACTCATTATGTAGTCCAGGCTGGCCTTGAACTCATAGCAGTTCTCTTGCCTCAGCCTCCCAAGTGCTGGGATTATTGGCATGCGCCATGCTCAGCTTGATTTTTTTTTCTTTTTTGGTGGTACTGAGAATTGAACCTAGGGCCTCATGCATGTTAGGCAAGCTACACTTGCTGAGCTACAGGCCAGTTCTGCATTTTAATTTTAGACTCCTGTTTTTATTGTTTAAACAGAACTCTAGATCGTCAGAATGGTCACTTTGTTATATACCATGCAGTCTCATAGGGATCTGGCTGTGTGTGTTGTCCTTAATGTTCGTAATGGCCTTTCTTCAAAGTGGCGATTTAAGATCACTTGCTGGTTAAAGGTATGATGCTAGGCGGGGGATTTAGCTCAGTGGTTCTGCCACCTGCCTCGAAAGCACAAGGTCCCAAGTTTGATCCCTGGTACCAAAAAAAAAAAAAAAAGGTTTATGATGCTGTAAGTTTCTCTCTTTTTATTTATTTTTTGCACACCTGTAATGCCAGCACTCTGGGAAGCTGAGGCAGGAAGATTGAAAATTTGAGCCCAGCCTGGACAAATTAGTGGCTTAGTGAGACTTTGTCTCAAAGTAAAAAGTAAAAAAGGGGTAGGGATGAGCAGTGCAGAGGCCCTTGGCTTAATGCCCAGTACCACATCCTTGGTCCCTTGAGAATGGCCATTATTACGCGGCATGGTGCTCAGGCTTCAACCCAGGGCCTCATGCGTGCTAGACAGTGCTCTACCACTGACCGGGTTGTCCCCCAACCCCTAAAGCATTTTCTTTCCTTCTTACTTTTCTTTTTCTTTTTTTATTAAATGTAGTGCTGGGATGAACCCAGGACTTCTGTATGCTAAGCAAGCGCTCTACCACTGAGGCAACACCCCAGCCCTTAGTCCGTTTTTGTGTGGACTTCGAAGGCATGCTTTAAATGGACGGTTCAACTCTCTCAGGAAATTGAGCATTTAGCTTTCATGGTAACCTGAACTTCCTGCACTTGTTCAGATGGAGAAAGAAATACCTTTGAGCTCCTTTTCTCTCTGATTGAACTCATGGTATTCTCTCCAGAGCCACAGCAGGCGGCTGCACCCTGCAGCCCCCATGCAGGCAGCCCATGCTGCAGGGCCCGGCTGGCAAGCGTGGCCATCTCGCCTTGAGAAAGCAGCCCAGCCTTAGACCGTGGCTCTGTAGTGGCCCAAATACGCTTTCATTTGAGTTTATTATTTGTACAAATAGTGCCACAGAGAACTCTATTTTTAATAGGTTTAACTTGGTTGTTTATTCTGGGATTAAACTTGTTAATAGAGAGTTGTCTGTACATACCGTTCCCTACCAAGAGGACAAGAATGCTCCTTTGGGAAATGTCTCATTCTAGACTTGGGACAGCAAATATGCAAGCCTGGAATATTTAATCACACCTGAAAATG